ATTTTTGAACGAAAAAATCTGCCTGTCAAAAATATGTGTCTAGCCTAAACGTCAAATTTAGTGATTACCACAGCCACTATACCATAAAGAAGAAACATGTGGCTATCTTTTTCAAATATTAAATTGTTCGAATGTCATATAATAATGGCTGCAGCAGTAGAATTGAGCGATTAAAAAATTATCATAAATCATTTTTTTAAAATGGAAACCCACTTTTTTATTTCCCTAGTGAAAAGGTTTTTCAATTCGTTACTTTTTAACTCTACGTATTCCTATACCTAAAATAAATCGTTTTTGAGTTAGTTAAGATTTAGTTTTAAAGCGTATATTTTTCTTGATTTTAACTAGTAACCAAACTTTAAACATCAAGTGATGTAAAACACTAGATCTGGCCATGTCATATTTTGACGCTTTGTTCAAAAAGCACCATCATTTTCGAGCCAACTTTGCGCTGTTTTTTTTCGATCATACGGAATATTAATAATATCAGCTATTAGATATCACTAAAGAGCGAAAATACGAGGTATATTTTTATAAATACACTTTTTAAATTCTTAAGGCAGGCAGTATTTGTGATATAGGAAATTCAAATAATTCGTTTTCTGACAGATGGAAATAAATTGTCTGACCCTTAATGTCAAAGGAAGCTAGATAAAATCAAGAAAAATATACGTTTTCTAACTCAATCTTAAATAACTTAAGAACGATTTACTTTAGGTATAGGAACATGTATAGTTAAAAAGTAACAAATTGAAAAACCGTTTCATTAGTGGAATAAAAAAACTGGGTTTCCATTTGAAAAAAATGATTTATGATAATTTTTTAATCACTCAATTCCATGACAGCTACCGCCATTATTATATGACATTTGAAGAAGTTAACTTTTGAAATAGATAGGCACATGTCTTCTCTTTATGTCACAGTGGCTGTGGTAATCACTAAATTTGACTTTTAGGCTATACAAATTTTCTTGACAGGTAGTTTTTTTCGTCCAAAAATTTTAAATCATTTTTTTCTCAAAAACGGTTAATGTTAGATATAGAGTGTTTAAGTCAATATTCCTAGAATTTTACAGAGAATTTAAGTACATAATAAAAAATGGGGGCACCCATTTAAAATAAGAAAGTTGATGTCAACTTCCGGTATTTCCGGAAGTGCCGCCATATTGAAAATAATTTTAATCGATAGATCTCGTTGTAAAACAATGATGTGCAAAGAATCTCCGATCTAGATATTGTGGTTCTCTAGAAACTTCTAATGCACGCTCAGCCTGGGACACCCTGTATATCCTCCTTTTTATTCACTAACACTGCTGGACTTGTATTGGCCTTGTTTTAAATTTTCGTGGTAGTTTTAGTAAGTCGATCCCATTTCTGATGTCAGAATGTAGTACGTATTTCCAACATGCCACATGCCACGTTAAACATTTTCTTCTTCCGAATAAAAAAAAATAAAGATAAACTAAAAAACTGTTCAACAACAGAGAATACATCCCATACAGCACATCAAATCACATTTACGATGTGTTTACATTATTAGATGTAGACACAGGGTGACACAATTCCCCCGATGTAAATATGCTACGTTTACACATTGTAGTTCAACAAGTATGCACAAAGGTTAAACGTCCGCCTCACAATGTAGCCACAGTATAGCATTTACGTATACACAAAGTAAGGGATACCCAGTGTGCCGTAGGATACACAGTGCTTGTGTATTACGTTTAAACTATGTTTACACATTGCAGTTGTGACTACCGCGTGTATACGTATGTATTTTGCTTCGTATCTATTATTATCTTGTGCTAAGATAAAACTACTTCTTATGAACGAATTTAGGAAATAATACAAATTTTGATGCCTAACTTTTCATTCTTTTTAAGAAATGATACCAATTATATCTTTTTAGAACGAAAATTAGGAAGGCAACACTTTGTATTTTCCAAAAGTATCTCGATCGTAAGTTCAAGAGAAGTAGCCTTAAAATTGTTCCATTTTTGTTTTGTATTAAATGTACCATTTTTCTTCCATAAAATGGATTAAGTGGTTAGAAAATAAAATTCTTATATTTCTTTATATCATGGAACGCAATAGCGCAAATAACACAATAATAATAATTATTTACACTGCAGAACCCAAAGGTAAGAAAACACTGTAAAAGAATAGAATTTGTATCAAAATGTATTAAAAATATAAGTACCTAGTATAACAACATACTAAAATTACAGTTGAGGGTTGGAACCTTTGGTGTTACACAGCAAAATAAAAACACTAAATCACCACAATACACCAAAACACTTTTACTTTTACACTGGACACGCGTTTCGCTAACCATGTTAGCATCATCAGCAGATGATTATAAACTAAGTTTATCAGCAGATGATTATATAAAAATGACTAAACGAGGTCCACCAAATTGTGGCGATATACTAGTGTTTACCATTTTAGTATGTTTGGCAAAATAAAAACACTAAATCACCACAATACACCAAAACACTTTTACTTTTACACTGGACACGCGTTTCGCTAACCATGTTAGCATCATCAGCAGATGATTATAAACTAAGTTTATCAGCAGATGATTATAAAAACTTGAAAAGAATCCAACTAGATGGAAAGGAAATACTGCCAACCCAGGAAGTTAAATACCTGGGAATAACCCTGGACAGTAAACTCCTGTGGAACAGGCATATTAAGAACACTACCAGCAAAGCCATAAAGGCTCTCATGATATGCAGAAGACTGGCCGGAAATAGATGGGGCTGCTCCCCTAACATTTTGCGCTGGATGTATACCATGATAGTAAGACCCATGATTACTTATGGAGCAGTTGCCTGGTACACAAAACTAGAGCAACGGACGGCAAGGCTAAACATATGCAAAGTCCAGAGACTAGCATGCGTTTGCATCACAGGAGCCATGAGAACCTGTCCAACAGCAGCAATGGAGGTCATTCTAGATCTAACACCACTGCACATTGTCATTGCATATATGCCAATGCGACAATGATTAGAATGGTCACTAACGGAATTAGTACTGGGAGAATTGTCAGATCAGGGGCTTGGAACACCCTCATAAAGGAAATACCACTCCTGCAACTCCCAGTGGACGATATGCCAAGAACCTACAACTTTGAGAAACATCTCAATGTAGTATTGGGCAATAAAAAGGATTGGAAGAGCAAAACGCTTGCCCAGCAGTTAAAAGACCATACCATAACTTGGTATACTGATGCTTCCTAAACCAATACGGGAACAGGGATCGGAGTGTTTGGGCCGAGAGCTAATTACTCCGAACCAATGGGCACTTACCCTAGTATCCTACAGGCAGAAATCTACGCTATCGAGAGATGCGTACAACTTATCTTAGATAGGAACTATCGGAAACAAGAAATAGCCATCTTATCTGATAGTCAAGCAGCGTTAAAGGCGATCAACTCAGTCTCAATCAATTCGAAATTGGTCAAAGAATACATAGAGAAGCTGAATAAATTAGGCAAAGAAAACAAAGTCCTCCTACACTGGGTGCCTGCTCACCAAGGGATAAAAGGCAATGAAAAAGCAAATAATCTAGGTAGAAAAGGAGCGAACACTCCACTAACTGGACCAGAACCGTTCTGCTTTCCAAGTGGTAACCAACTCAAGGAGGAACTCAAGAACTTGGAAGATTCCATCCGCAACCTGGAATGGAAATCTTGCAATGGTCTAGGACACTCGAAGAAGTTTCTGAGGGCTTATGATCAATAAAAATCACAGATCTTCCTAGGTCTGAGTAAGAACAATCTTCGGATTGTCAGGGGTTTTTAACAGGACACTGTCTCCTCAATGAACACCTCAGTAGATTGAAACTAAGAAGAAACGGCGAATGCAGATTCTGTGGGGAAGATGGTGAAACACCAGTACACCTCATCACTGAGTGCGCCGAGACGACAACCATTCGTGCCATGAATTTTGGTACGACTGATATTGGAGATGGAGAACTACCCTCTATAAAACCGTCCCAGATACTGGCTTTTGTCAAAGCCCTGGGACTGTATGATGAGTTATGATTCAAGAAAGGGGGACACAATGGATCTGTAAGGTCGAAGTGATTAACCCCCCTCCCACTCATTCTAAATTCTAAATTCTAAAAAATGGGATGACAGTTGTATTCTGTCCTTTTAATCCCAAATAAATTGTTTTATCCGTTATTTTCTGGATGGCATCTATCGAAATCTTTCCCGATTCGTTGAACAGACCCTTGAACACTATTAAGATGAACGTCTTTGTAATACACAAGTAAATTATCTTTTTTGTTATTCTTTGTCTAAATATGGTCGTTTTCTGTCTTTACGGTACATCAACACCTTCTATACAGGATGTCCCATAAATAAGTGTTAGTATTTTAACTGGTAGTATATAGTTTAACCCCAGAAACACGCCTATGAGGTTTTCTTCGCGAAAATTTTTTTTTGAAAATCCGAAACTTTTTGAAATATTTTTTAGATTTTTTTTTAGTTTTTAGTTAAAAAACATAATTTCTTGATAATATGGCAACATAGTATAGACATAGTATAACATAGTATTTGATTAAATTTACAAGAAAGAAAATCCGGAAAAGATCTAGTGGTTCTCAAAATGTTAGCAAAAAATCACTTTTTGGAAATTTTCAAAGTAAAATAACTCCGTTATTTTGGACTTATTCGAAAAACGATAAAGACAAAATATGTTTCTTTTATCGAGATCTACTACCCCTTAAAATACTTGCACTTATTTCTGGGACACCCTGTACACTTGTATCTGGTAAAAGAACGCCCAGTTATTTCCTGTAATTAATTTAATAACTAATAAAATATTAATTAAATAATTCTATTAATTTAATTGTGTTAAGTCATCATTATTTTTCTGGTATTCTCTAAATTTAATCAGTCGAAATCATTCTATTCTCTTACAGGATATACTATATGTGTTCAAATATCAAACTACTTAAGATAATCTTCTCCTAATTACCGCGAATAAAAAGAAAAAGTCAATTTTAAAATTTATTGCCTAATAAAAATTTTAAAAATATAATGTTTACCTAATCGATTTATGCAGGGTAGGGAGAGGTAGGTAACGCTCCATAGATTGATTGCATACACTACTATTCGTACAACGTTCACAGAAAAAATATAAACTAAAAATTCTTCAGTACCCTGGAGAATAGTAAATATAGATAAAAATATAAATATAATACTTTTATAATAAAAGAAAATTTCAATTATTTTCTAAATGTTCTGATTCTTTGCTGCCTCAATGCTAAAGTGTTACAATATGCGAGTCTCTGAGATTTGCTTACAAATCGCGTAAATCTCTCAAAGTCATTATCGTTTAATAAAATCTCCATTTTGGATTTTCCCATTCCTAAATTTATAGTACTTGGTGCCAGTCCAGATTTATAAGCTTCAGCAAAATTTTTGATTCTACTTGCACTAGGTTTCTTCCTAAAAAAGAAAAAAATAATAAATATACAAGGTAGTCTAATATTAAAAAAAGTTTTGTGGGTAAAACAGCATGTTTACTCTTCGAGAATTTTACTTAATTCTCGACTTACTACAACTTTAGTGTAAATATACAGGGTGTCCCAGAAATAAGTGCAAGTATTTTAACTGGTAGTATAGTTCAATCACGCCTATGAGGTTTTTTTCGTGAAAAAAAAATTTTGAAAATTCGAAATTTGTGGCAATTTTTTTTAGTTTTTAGTTAAAAAACATAATTTCTTGATAATGCAACATAAGTATTAGATTAAATTTACAAGAAAGAAAATCCAGAAAAGATCCAGTGGTTCTCAAAATTTTAGCAAAAAAACATTTTTTTTGGAAAATTTCAAAGTAAAACAACTCCGTTATTTTGGACTTATTTGAAAAATGATAAAGAGAAAATATGTTTCTTTTATCGAGATCTACCACCACTTAAAATACTTGCACTTATTTCTGGGACACCCTGTATAATTCAATAACATTGTATAAACTTGAGTTATTTCTAGAATATTTTTGCAATATGTACTACTATTAGCACATATTTTTCAGAAAAGGAAATCACAAACAGGAAATCTGATATGAAAACTAAGAATCGCATTGATTCACTGAGCATTTACAATCACAGCTAGAAATCTACAGGGTGATTCCTGTTAGTCGGTCATGTTTTCGGAGAATGATACGGGACGTCGAAATATTAATTTTGATATAGCACGCTATGGGTCGGAAATACCTCTTACGCAAGATACAGGGTGTTAAAGTTTTTGAAAAATTAAAGATATTCTTTAATAGTTTTTTAACAGTTGAAGGTATCGTTATACAATTTTATTGTAGGAGTCTACCTAACAGAGACACTTTACAGGTAAAAAGAAGAGGTTTTATTTTCAATCAGTGGCGTACCTAGATGTGTTACCTGTTACGCATCTGGTAATTTAAAAAAAAAAAGTACGTACGCCACTGATAAAAAATATAATTTTTACAGTTTTTTTATTTACTCTAAGAAAAAATGTATCTTGCAACTTTCTCCTATCTAACATCATTTTGTCACAATTTAAAAATAAATACATTTTTTAATGAGAATCTTAAATACAGCGAATTATTATAATTAGAGAAGCACATGTGCATTGTTAGCTCCCTTCATCACTTACATGTGAATATATATAGGCGAAGGTTAGAGTTACACACGTTGGGTAATTTTAGTACTTTTTACTATTAGCTGTTTAAATAAACTTTTAAAAAATTATAAATTTAAACTAGAATTTTTTTTATTGTTAATAATAAAATTCTTAGTTTTTAAGGTACCTAGTTATAATAATTCGCATATTTAAGGTTCCCATTAAAAAAAATCACAGATTTTGCAACATGCGCAACCATCATAGGCGTATTGAAAATACCAGACACAAAAGTCGGCGCGGCGGTGGTCAGCAATCACCTGTTTTTTACATTTTATATTAACTTGTGACGTCATTTGGAAGAGCTCGATAGAAATATAAAAGAACTAAAGCTTGTTTGGAAAGCAATTTGACATTCGTGACATCAGCACTCCGGCAGTCTAACGTATCGCTAATTGCCATTCGCAGATATATTCCAGATACGTATAGTGAACAAGTGAACCCTTCGCAATGTTAAATAATTTTGATATTTGATTTTTATCGTGATGGCTTTTTAAAAAGTGAAGAATTTAGTAAGAAAAATATTAATGATGAAGATGAACGTGTACGGATTCATGAATGGTCACGATCACGGTCACGACACTATAGAAATGTGAGGTATGTATGTATATATACTCGTATATATAGAATTAATGGCATTAATTTGCAATAGCACCTCGAACCCACAGTTTCATTATGGAGCCAGATTAAACAAATCAGAATGAGTATTATGTTACCGTAAAAGCCCGAATATTGGTTAAACGTAGGGTTACCCACGTAGGAGCCCGAAATATGCAAAAAAGGTCACTTTAGGTTAAGTTTAGATTAGGCCTATATTTTTATTAATGCAAAACCAACTAAAACCTAATTCTAATATAACCTAAACTCACTCCCTCTTTTGCATATTTCGGGCTATTACCTGGGTATTTCTAGGTTTAACCAATATTCGAACTTACGGTGTAAATTTATGGACGGTCCATAAATTTAAATTCGCCGTACAAAAAATAAGTAATAGTTACTGTAGATAAAAATAAATTAAAATATAGTTCCACGATAATTCAGTTTGCAGCTTCTTTTCATCATACCTAGTAAAAACCCGTCACAACCACTACTCATAGTATGTATGCCTATGTATTTTTAAACATCATTATGAGATTTAAGTCATAGGTGCCCATAATATGAGTAGCGGTATTGACGGTTTTTTGTTATGATGAAAATGTTGTGTGATATGAAAAAGCAACAAAATATATTATCGATTGCAGCAACTATACCTAGTTTTACATTCAGTATGTCCAATTAATATAGAAAATTATTTGTTAGCTTCTTAAACAAAACAGACCCATAATAATTCAAATCTTTATCATCCAAGACTTCCAAGAATTATAGAGTAATCTCACGTCAAAACTTTTTAAAATTATTGCATGCCTTAAATGTTTGCAAAATTAACAAAAATATGTCTTTGATTACCTGCAATTAATATATTTGGTCCAATTTATCAGTTCTGCATCATATCCGAAATTCAGATTGTGTGTGACACAACGAAGAGTCAACGTACAACGTGAACGATAAGAAAATGGCAAGTAAAAAAAATTGTAAAGTCTTAATTACTAATTACACAGTCTTGAGTTCTCCTGCCTAAAATCTATATTGCCTTCCCTAAGATTTTAAATATAAATGATTGAAATTCATACAAGTTTACCACAATTTAAACTTAAGATAATTATTTAATTATTATAAATCCATAGTTATATTAAAATATAACACTTACGAAGTTACTAAATATTAACTATTTCTACTTAATCATTTAATAATTCTGATAAAAACACGCTTGATTATTTATTTTAGAAATCATACGGGCTATAATCATTAATATGACTATATTAACAATACTTAAATCAAAATTTATTTGAAGGAATGCTACTGTATTACAATAAAATTGTAAAACAAGTATGTAATAATAACTCGGAATAATTATTAAAAACTGCTCATCTTGATATAGAGATCTCAAAGATCTGTTAGCCGATTTTATTGAAATTTCGCCGTGTTGTGAAATTTAATAAGTTAGCAGTAATTAAATGATAATTATTATTTACAACAATATTTAAACGATAAAAACTTATCCCAATAAATATTTGGCACCGCCTTGAATTCATTTGTTTTACGTTGGCGGTGGAAACCATGCAAGCTTTTTCTTTGTCCTAAGTTGTTAATTAAAAAAATAATTATCATATAAAAAAATATAGGTCCTAATAGCCTAAATTTTATCAAAATATATCAGCAGATCCGATGAGACCCGAATATGTTTTGGAACTTAATGATTTAATTAATTATTCCCTTTAATGCATCGATTGTGCGCATTATCCTACGCGCTAAGAAAAAAATATTGCATTAGTCTAAATTTATTATTTATTTATGTTATTCCGCTCTTTCACGTATAATTTGCCCCCTGCTTCTCATACGGAAAGAGTTAGATTAAAATAGCCCAACTGTACTTAACAACCCATGCCTTGACGCATATTCTTTTTTATAATAATATCGGCTTTCAGAGACTAAACGTCCATGTCCATAAAATAGTTGGCCCACACTAATAAGACCTCATTTCGGCCCTCGGACGGCCTTGCTATTCAGCTATCGACTTACGTGTTGACAAGTTGATTAGGCAGGTTAATGAACTCCATGTCGCCTCTAGCATGTCGTTTTTTCAAAGATGGGTCCCATATAAACGCGGCCAGAAGTATTTTCAATACTAAAATTATTTATTTGTAAGTCCATTTTCAAAGTAATTATTGCTATCTTGTGAGAATAATTTAGGTTTTATTTACTCAAACCCGTGATAATTATTGTGAAAAGTGGCATTAAAAACTTAAAAAGCTATGCTGTGAACTGTGAACTGCAAAAACCATCGTAATCTTGGCATAGCGTCGGTTTCCAATGTTTCATAGGTATTTCATACATCTCCTTATATAAAATAAAGTTTCTTGTATGCAACACACTGTATTTTATTTATAAAATTAAAAGAAAATAATAATAAATTTGAAGAAATAATATTTGCCGATATAATTCCGGAAAAAGCCGAACCGCTCCAAAATTTTCAAAAGCTTTATTGGGTCGCGACCGTTGCGTTGCAAGAATGGCGCCAAACAGTGTTTACATTGTCCTTATGGGCACTTTCCAATCTAAACTTGTTTCAATTATGTATGTTATTATGTATGTTAAGCACACTTACCCATCAAATAAGTAACTTTTACTTAAATTAAGAGAAGATCCTTCCATTGGTCTATCACATATTTTGCATCGACTTCTGCCGAATATATCTTTATTTAGAGGATCAGGTAGCCATCTTTCATTCAGTTTAAACTGGTGAACGCATGTATGGTCGGTTTGGGAACTTCTATTATCTAAATTTAAAAAATAAAAAAATTAAAGTACTATTTATTTCGAATATAATATAATAATTGATATTTCAAAAGATTTAAATAAATTAATCGCAAAATATTTTGTAGTTATTTTTAACCATGCATATTCATTAGACAATCCGCTTATAGTCTGGCGGTATATCAAAGGATGAATTCTTTCGGATTAGCCTTCTACCACAGCCCGAGTCTACTTAACAAGCCGGGAACAACCATTTGGCAACGCCGCAACCGGCAAGAGATTCAGATCGGTTTCTAGCGAGCGCGAATGCGCGACGGGCCGTTTTACCGGCTCTCGAGGCGCGTATTTTTAAATTAATTTAAGGTTTGCTCAAATTTGCCACATAAAACTAAAAAAAAATTGCCACATTACTTGTCAAAAACAGTCCCTGCTCCCCGAAAAAGTCCTGCTGAAAGAACCAAAGAAATGCTTAAATTGCTCACTTCGATCTTGCATTTCTTTGATTCTTTCAGCAGGACTGTTTTTACAAGTAATGTGGCAAATTTGGAAAGATACTAGGCACTGTATTTAACTTTAGTCTAGTTTTAGCAGGTACCTTTTGCATTGATCCATCTGGCAAGCGATAATCCTCCTCCCTAATAATGTCACTTTCTACAAAATGCTTAGCACAAACCACAGAATATTTTGAGGGTGACCATGCCTCCTTAGGAATATTCCTAAACCATTGGGCTTTAATATGTTCATCCTTTTGAAAGATAAAAACAAATACCGATGGTTCTCCTGCATCAAGACAAGTTTTATAATTGAATTTGCGCCCAGGCACACAACAAGGACTTACGAGCCCTAACAACTATATGTTGGAACAAGGTCTTTTTTTGCAATAAAAATAGTAATTTGTTAAAACGACTCAATTTTATTTTGTTTATTATTCTAAATTCAAACACTACGATATGATCTAGACAATTTTACTATATTTTTAAAACTTTGCAAACAAATCACTTTTCATAAAAGCTTATTTTGACAAAATCAAGCCAAATTTGCTGACAACTATATATTGGGACAGCACAACAAGAAATTTGTTTAATACGGAGTTACACCACCTTTCGCCTTAACAACTGCCTGAACTCTTAAGGGCATTGTATTTACCAAAGATTGGGACATTTGAGGAGAAAAATTATCCCAAATTTCCTGCAGTTTTGTCCCCAAATCAAAAATTGTTCGTTGGGGGTGGTTTCTTAAATATTGCTTCATTTTATGCCACACAGTTTCTATAACATTGAGGTCCGGACTACTTGAAGGGAAGGAAGGGATAGAACTTTTCTATTATTATTACCGAACCAATTTTTAGTTGATCTTGCTGAATGGCACGATGCTCCATCTTGTTGGAAAATACAGTCTTCGTTTGGAAACAATTCTTGAGCACTAGGCAAAAGTGATGTCTCAAGAATATGTTGATATTTTTGGGCGTTAACAGTGCCATCTATAAAATTTAATTTGCCCAAACCTCTTGCTGACATACAACCCCAAACCATAATCCCCTTAGGAAATTTAACAACCCTCTTTAAGCAATCTTTATGAAAGGCTTCTGCTTTATTTCGTATTATTCGTTTTCGATGATCTCCAACGCAAACATCAAATTTAGACTCATCGGTAAATATGACCTTATTCCAATTATTTTGCGTCCATGATAATTTAGATTTTGCCTAATTGTAGCGATTTTTCTTTTGAATTTCTGTCAGTAGCGGTTTTTCTTTGGCCTAAATAAGAATTTGTATCAATAATCTTCAGGTAATTGATTATCCACACAAAATAAAGTTTACCTTGTAAAACCCCAGACCGCATTTGTGGATATATTTCGGCAACATTCTCTTGATATATTTAAACCAGTTACAGTATTCCATTTAACTGTTACTTCGCGAAGAGTACTTCTTCTCGCAGACTTGAAAATTTTTACTAAATTTCGTAAATCTCTCTGAGATACAACTTTTGGCCTTTCAGAACTTTTACCTTTAACGTCTACGTTGGCAGATTCGCCGTATTCTTTTATTATATTAAAAACCGTGGTTTTTGGAATACATAAATCATCAGAAATGTTTCGAATTGTTTTTCCTGTACTGTATTGACGATTGATAATTTCGCGTAGTTTTTGATTTGTAGCTTTTCCACGGACCACTACTTTGGATTAAATTAACAAAATTGAAAATTAAAAAAATTAAAATTTCTTACAGTAAATCTCACTACTCAAAGTATCGAGTACTTACAAGCTGTCAATGCTGAAGTAAACAATAAACAGTTTGCGACATTTGTAACGTTTATAGCAAAGCCGCCTATGATGATATTAATTATTTAAAAATACTTGTCCCAACATTTAGTTGTCAGCAAATTTGTCCTTTTATGAACAAAATCCGCTACTGTAAATATGGATTGATTTACAAATGCATAAAAACATTGTCAAGTTGTTTAGGATATATGGCTATGTTTATATTTAAAAAATTAAACATATATTTTTCAGTCATTTTGAAAAACCAGGGCAATAATTCCATAATATGACCTTGTCCCAACATATAGTTGTTAGAGCTTGATGACATGGTAATTTTTGATTACAACAACAACATGGGACATATGGCATGGTAATTTTTGATTACAACAACAACTAACTTTCGATAAAGTGTTTTAAAAAGCACCACAAGATGTTCATTCGCCGCCGAATTTACCGCCATTCTTTGAAGAAAGCACTTAACCTCGCTTATAACCCGGCGAATTTTTCACCCACGGATATTTGTTTTTACGCAATGTCTACGGAAAAAAATTGTCCCGGTAACTTACAAATCTCACACAGTAAGACTTTTCACAACTTTAGTCTTTAACTAAACAATATTTTCTTTCAAAAAAGCGCATTTATTTACAAAAACATAACAGAGCAACAGGTCAATGAACGTAAATCATAGCCATATGAATGTGTATCGATCGATCTGAAACCAGGGTTGCCAGATTTCCTTGTTCACGGCTTGTTAAGTAGAGTCGGGCTGTGATTCTACATATATCTAACTGTATGCACCTTAATGAATAGGCTGTGATTAAAACGAGAGGTGCAAAATTCGAAAATTTCTACAACTGAAAATAAATAATTCAGATTATAATATGAAGTTTCTTACTAGCTATGTTGTTAAAATTGTGCGTTTCAAAATAATATTCGTTTCTGAATTCTGGTACTGAATACGCTTCGTACTTTAGAGATTCAGGTCTAGATTTTGTAGTTGTTCTGGACGGATTGCCATATCTTGGAAAACTCTCATTCATAAATTTTTGCGAAGTAAAATATTCATCGTTGTTTGTTAAAGATGTTTCGGTATCATATTTTTTAGTACCTAAAACAGGTTTTATTTATTAGTTAAAATTATTAGTTTAAATATTGTGTTAATTAGTGATGTAAACGGTAATATTACCGGTAATTTTGGTAATATTACTGAAAGATCTGTAAGAAAATATTGCTTTTTTCCGCTCTACTTTCATTTGTCCAGCTCCAAAATAAGTATGTTGGCTGTAGACACTTTAAATTTACCATCGTCAACAGCCGCCACCGAAAGAACCTTAAGTATAGGTACTTATAGATTTGTTTTGGAGAATGGAGAATGGCCAACAAATATCTAGAATGGTGGAGAAACTCACCAGGGCAGACAGGCGAAAAAGTTCATAGTAGAACATTCGCCTAAATGCAGACCTGATAAGGGAAGACAGAAAAGACTTATATTGCCCTTCATTATAATTTACTAAATGGAGAAGATTATACTAATATAAGATATAAGAGAACTTACTTACGGATCCCAGACCTGAACACTAACAAAATCAAATATGGATAAGGTAACAAAAGCTAAAAGATCTATAGAAAGACAAATACTACATGTAAGGCTGACAGAAAAAATAATGAGTAGATCAGAAGGGATGTTAGAAGTGAAGTAGGCAAAATTGAAATGGAACTTTGCTGGTCACAATGTCAGACAGAAGGATGATCGATGGAACAAATGCATCATAAACTGGACGCCTGGAGAATAGAAGAAGTAGAGGAGAGGAAGACCTCAGATGAGATGGGAGGACGATCTGAGGTAATATGCAGGCAGGAGATGGATGAGCACGACGACAAAGAGAGAAGAGTGGAAGAGATTGGGGGAGGCCTATGTCCAACGATGGACCGAAGAAGGCTAAATAGAATAGAATAGAATATAAACGGAGAAGAACTGGTAAGAAGAAGTATGGTAGAAGCTGCTGAGAGAGATATGGAAGAAGAGAAAGATACCAATTGCGAAGTAATAGACTTTTGACTCAATTAACGAAAGAAAAACTTCATTCAGAACCTCCCAATTAGTGGAATAAATTAGTGGTTTCAATTACACTTCATACTTTTTAGTTTACGATCATTCACATGTCTAAAAAACACAATTAAAATTAATAAAATATCCTAGCAACAGCTTGCAGTAGTCTGTTGTATTCACAGGGGAACTGTTTACATTTTATGCGAATGCCAACATCCTATTGTTATTGTTTGGTATGTTGCCCAGTATTTCTCCGCTTTTGTTTATTTTTAATTTTGTATACGTATACTTTGGGGAAATCTTAAGAAAATAATAATATAATTAGCTTACTACTTTTCAAAATTTCGACATTTATAATTTTATTTAGTACTTATTAAGATTCAGTCAAGATTACAAGAAAAATAAACTTGAAATATTTGTAAATTTCGTCATTTTTCATCAGCCGTTAGGATTAATTTTTAATCTGACAACGCCGCTCTGTTGTTATAGTATTTTCTATAGTAGGGGAATTGGACGCGGTCAACAGTGTCAATACTGTCGATAAACAGCTGATTGGCATGATCAGCTGTTTGCCGTGCTTTTATTTTTCCATATTTCTTAACTATTAATAAACTATTAATGTATAATTGTTTCATTTTATATAAAAGACCAAAATTAGCATTTAAAATGGGTCTACACTGGCAAAATGTGTGAGAATAAAAGAATTTAAACATCGTCATTTCAAAAGTAAGTACTGTTCTGTGGTAATACAACATCTCGTTTTATTTACCTAAAATATTTACCATATTTGTTAAAATTTGTTTATTTGTTTTATAATATAATTTTGTGAATATAATATATTATGTATATTATAAGAAGTAATGTTTATATTTTTGTTACAATATTGTCCGATTTAAAATCGTATATTTGTATTTAATTATGAATACAAATAATTTGTATGTTTACATAAATTATAATTGGTATGTTTACATTTGTAAAATAATGCCTATTTACGTTTTCTATTACTAAGATAAATATTTTATTTCAGATTTCTAAAAGATAGTGAGAGAAAAATTAAATGGTTTTCTCTGTTAGGATTTATTCATAGCATAATATTAAAAAGTCGAGCAAAAGAGAACTCAAGAACAGCTGATTTTTTTATAAGGAATTGAAGAAAATATTTAAAATCTGATGATTTTCACAGCCATTTATGTCGCGATTTGTGGTCTTTCAGTTGTTTCAACATCACCTAGGAAATTAACATTAAGATATCAGGATCCTGCATATAACGAGATAAGAACTATGATCTTGTTAGGATACCTATTCCGTCACAATATGTAAGTACATATATATTTACAGTTTAATTTTTTAATATAAAATATTACTATATACTAATATGTATACACAGATTCAAAGTGTACAGGGTGGTGCCTTTCATACGATATGAAGGTTTCAAGGATTTTTGTTGATGGAAGTTTGTATTGAAAGAACAAATGGAGGGTTTAGAAATCAATCAAGTCATACAAATTCACTTTCATTTTCCTTGGAGCCTTCGCGTCCTATGAGAGGTGTTACCCTATATGTATATAGATTTGTATATATATATATATATATATATATATACATAATATATATTATATTAATATTATTTTACTAAAATTACACTATAGTTGTATAAGATCTCACCATCGAAAAAAAAAACAGCGTTAGGGTTGGCTTTGAAAGCAAGATTTATGTAATTTTATAAAATGTAAATTTATGTGGTGAATGTCATTGATCGTCAATTTTATTTTGCTCACAATGTATACTCAATGTAGATATTTATATTCACCAACTTCATGTTTATATTTTGTTTTAGGAAGTGAAGATATTCATGGTGTGGAAGTCGTTACTTTAATTACATAGTGCATATGAAATTGGTCCTTTACATCATGTTTAAAATTGACGTAATGCTACTATGCAAAATAGTGAGAGATGTGAACCCTAGGCAGAGCTACAGAATTACTTTTGTTGAGAGACAAATTATGATAGTGATTAGAATCGCATATTCTAGACTTTTACTTAAAAAATGATTTGTTCGGAATGAACTTTTATAGTGTGGAGGAATACCTGCAAATTATAATATGAGGCCTACGTATATGATAATTTTATTATGATCTGTTGTGTTTGTTTTTTTATATTTTGTATTATATATTTGTGTTAGCTTTAAGAATTTATTGACTATTCCTATACAATTGTACATTGTTTTATGGAAATAAATAAATGATTGATTGATTGAATAAGTTAGGAAACCATACGATCGAGAAAAAAACGGCTTCAAAGGCGACTGGGGAATGAAAATATGATAATTTCAGTGAGGTCAAGCCCTAGAAGTCATTTTCTTGGCTCGTACTATTTTTTAAAGGCGCTCTAAGGTTGTAATTTATTTTTACATTAAGTAAATATGATTTTTAAATGGTGTAGTTTAAGATTGACCTCGCTAAATTATCAATCGTCATTCCTCAGCCGCCTTTGACGCCGTTTTTTTTAGACTATTTGCTATAACTATGTTATCTGTTATGCAAATACATATGTCAACAAGTAAAAAGCCAATGAGAAATTAGTTTCTGCTTGGATCCTTACAGTGGCATTTAACAAAATATATATTTTTTCAGGTTACAATATTTTATTTAATATGAACCTGTAAATGTAAGAATATTATACATATATTATATTTTTTACTCAGTCCCTAAATATATTATTAAAATACAACACTTGTGTTTTTTATTAATATCGTGTTATGATTAATACCTAATTAATGTAAAATTATATGGTATGTAAATATCCTTACACTGAGAATTCGTTTGGTCAAAATATTACTCTCTTACTAATATGAATTTGAAAACTACAGAACATTGTTTTTTTTTAGTTTTTGTGCTAATATTTCCACTTAAAATTACCGAATATATTTATGGTATAGGTAGGAAAAGATGAATTTTGTGCTTTTTAATTATACATTATATTAATTATATTATTATTGTAAATAATATCTACTGATATTTAATATAAAAAATAGTTATTCACATGCATCTATTTTTCTTTTGTAATTAATACTATCTAAATAACAAGACATCTTATATAATAGATCCATTAACATTTTAGTTTATCAATTATCAATCACTATACGATATACAATACGTATAATATCTTTTAATTATATCTAACTTTTAATTATTGAATATTTAATAAACAAATTTTTTATAGTGTTTGTTAAATATTTTATAGCATATACTATTATGTATTTATAATAATTTATTAGTTTTATTGCATGAACATATTTTTAAAATTTATTATTAAAAAATATTTTATCTTTGCCTCTAACCACCTACTTCTATATCTCTGGCTTTTACTTTACTATCATCAATGAATCTCAAGGTTAATTCTGTTTTGATGCTCTTCCGCTGTAAACTCCCCTACCACTTTCCTCTTTACCCCGCTGTCCATAAACTATGGTAGTGGGGGCACTCACCGATAAAACGATGTAGGCACCTCGATTTTGTGAATTTATGAATGACTTGCTCTATCTATTTTTATTCTTAATCTAAGGTTGTATTCATAGAGAAAGCATAATATTTAGCTTATAAAACAATAAACTTTTGATTTCTAACCAAAATTTTTCTTGACGGGTGATAATTAGAGATGGGCAAAAGTAACCGGTTTTTTGAATAACCGGTATTTTCCTCTAAAATAACCGGTTATTTAAAGGTAGGTTTTTTTTTCATCAGTTAACCTAATAACCTTGCATTACGTTCAATAACCTATAGCCGGTTATTTTTTAAAAAATCGTACTTGTTTAAAACAAGTAACAATTAAATATTAGCTGTTTGAATCGTAATTTTCGAAGAAGCGAACGGCACGGATCTTCCAGATATTACGACGATAACGGGAGATCCCGCTCCCACTCCCAAAACGAAAATATATGACATCAAACATCAAATGTCAAAATTAAATCAGGCATCAGGCGAACCCTGATGATAATAATCAAAACAACGGCCAAATGGCCCTGACAGGTCAGGCCGTAAAACAAAGTACTAATGGCATAGACTACTACTAGCCACCAGCTAGCCAAGTGATACGAACCTAACTTCAAATAGATTCTCTAAATTCTATATTTAAATTTTAACCGACTTTAACGGATTTTCAACGGTTCTTCAAAAGTCTTCCATGGTTTCGCCCAGTTTCACCCACGTTTCACCGTAAATATATTTTATTTGTAGTTTGAAGTCTCTCTTGAAGCTTAGACTAAAGAATACAAAATTAAAGTTCAAGTAATGAATGAAGATAATCTTTCATTATCTATTCATTCAGTCTCCTTATTTTTCTTTGGTATTTGATTAAAATAACTTGGTTGTAGATTGTAGAACTTGTGAGTTGTGTGGTTTTTTGAACGTTAAGTAATTACTAGTTTTAATATCATATCCATGTCTACTCAAAAAAAAGTGAGGTTAGCATTTTTATTTAAATTCATTTTATACATATACATACTTACATTGCTACAATCTCTATTTAATCATGCGATTTAACTAAGTTTATTATCTAAATTTGAAGTAGACCTATGGAGTGTAGAGGTAAGTAAACCTATAGGAAAACTAAATATTTAGTTTTGCTAGGTTAGGTTTTTTGAATAACCGGTTAATTTGTGTCGGTTAATTTTGTCAAGTTATTATTTTTTAAAGATAATTCCGGTTAACCTATAACCGGTTTTTTACCAATAACCGCCCATCTCTAGTGATAATCAAACATGGTACAAAGAAAACAAGGTATGATCGATAGCGGCTCCAATTTCGTTAAGTTTGCGCATACCACCTGTGACGTCATACGCCATACAAAAAAATATCCATATTGTTCAATTGCCACTAATAAAAAAAGATCTAAAATAGGGAAGAATTATGACATAACCCCAAAAGTTATGTTTTGACATCGAACTTGACATTTGAAAAATTATTTTCACATTTTGACACAATCAAATTTCACAGATGACACAATCTGTTTGACAATTTGAAATTGGCGCGCAGAGCTTGCCGACTGTGTTGCCGACCAATGGTGCCGTTTATCACCTGTGACGTAGTGACCAACCTGCGCAATATCATACCTTGTATTCTTTGTATCATGATAATCAAAGGTTAAAATGACATTACTCGCAAATTTTGAAGTATAATTAGTGAAAAAGTCAAAAGTTTGTTAACTTTTTGTCTGAATTACTACCACTAATTATGACGTTCTGAATGCTTACATTAAAATTAGGTGAACAAACTTCTACGCTAATTGAAACTACTAATTTATTCCACTGATTTTGAAGTTCTGAATGAAGCTAAAAAGAAGAACGAGATAAAGAGATTGAGGATGATTTATTCTCCACTCTATTACGTGCTATAACATAGACAATTCTGACTCTTACTAGTTTGAAAAACGTTCTTGCCTTTTTTATGTTTTTATAGTTTTGAAATAAAAGAAATAATATAATTTAAAAAGGTGTATTTTTATAAATTACCAATATTACCGTAATGTTCCGTAATATTACCGATTTATAAATTACCGGTCATTTTACATCACTAGATTTTTACTATACCTAATATAGTATCAACATCAGTAAAGTCATCACGGTTTTTGTCTAACGAAGGGAAGAAAACTTCATGCTTTCTATAATCGTCTAGCTCTCTTCTATATTTGTCATCCTCTTTCTCTCTATAATCTTCATAATTTTCTCTCTGTTTAGTGAACTGCAAAGCTGCGCTATCAGACGGTTGTTGTTCTTCTTTTAATTTAGACGTTTCGGAAACTTTTTGAGTACCAGCACCAGTATTTTTCTTGCCACAAATACACAATAAGGATTTTCTTTTTAAGTTACCTTTATTGCGTGTAGTATCGTCATAACTTATACAAGTATTTGGTCGTCTAAACAAAGTCGGTTTTGGAGGTTTATCGTCCAAGCAGTAACAGTTGTTTCTGCTTAAGATATATTTTTCCACTACGGCGCCTTGGGTTTTTTCGCCATATCTTAGACGAGGGGATGTTAAATGGTCTTCGGGGTGTAAAAGGGCATTTACGCTCGACGAATCATTCCGCGAGAACCATGTGGATGAATTCAAACAATTTTCGTTGCTATGCTATTAATATAAAAATATGTTAATTTACAGGGTGGCCCGAATTATATTCGGGAAACTTCGGCAGCATATTCTGCAGATAAAAATAATTAAACAAATTTGTGTAAATTTATGTCCTAAGTCCTAACTGTATAAAAATATAATAAACCATTTTGAAATTTCGTGCAATTTTTTATTTAAAATTATTATTAAAATGGCTATTTTATCAAAATAAAAATAGAAAACAGAAAAAGAAAATTCAGTGGAACTGGCAACATTGTTTTTCCTTTTGTCTGTCATCTCAAATCAAGTGCATAGATAAAGGAAATGAAATAAATTTAGATTGGAATCAGGGGCGGATACGGGAATTTATTTTAGAGGGGGCCCAAATAAAAAGTAATGTAGAATATATATGCTTTTTAGAACGCCATTTTTAACCAAAAAAAACTAATATTTAAACAAATTTATAGATTTTAGGGGGGCCTTGTGGGCCTTATGGCCCCCCCCCCCCCCTCTGTATCCGCCACTGATTGGAATGTCCGCCAAAATTTTAGGTGGTTAGGTGGCGAAATTGTCTTGGGTCGCGACCGTTCGTTGTATGCTTTGAATTAAGGACTAAGGAAGGAGCATAATGCTATCCATGTATTCATGCATGGTAGGCGGAAAAAGCGCCATAAAAGCACTCTAGGGTGGGGATCCTTGACAGTTCTGTTTGACGATTCATTTGCACATTTGAATTTGATTTGAAATTTTGTGGATTTGTCAGTCTTTACGGAGCTTATTTTATGTTATTTATTATTTATTCTACTACTGATAGTTGTATAAAGGTAGTAAATCTAGATGGAAATTGTGGCAGCACTTAAATTAACAGTGACACTATCGCGATTTATCGAAAAAGACTCTAAAATAGTTGGTTGTGTAGCGTGCGGTAGATCTCGGCAAAAATTGAGTGAAATAATGGAACAACTTTTCGCTAGTAAGTGACTATATAATATACATACGTGTAGTAAACCGATCATTTATGAAATTCACTTAAATTAACTAAATTATATATTTTTCTTGTATTTTAGCTTTTATTTATTACTTGTCAAAGATTAGATGTCAAAGAATTTAGATACGTTAATTTTACTTACCTGCTTCAGTAGCGTATCGGATGTTTGTGGTAATAAATACTTATTATAACTTATCTATTTTTATTAGAATTATATATTTTTATAACAATTTCAATAACTACCAACATTTATTCACAACGTAAAATAAAACAACAAATTATTGAGTCTACCCCACGCCTACCCTACATCATAGTTTTACATTTTTTTAAATAAAATTAGAACGACACTGATAAACCGGAATTTAAATCGGCCATATTTGAGGCCCATCGCGGTGTACCTAAGATTTTTGATATGCTCCTTCCTTAGTCTTCTTATTCAAAGGTTGTATGCGATCTTGCGCTGCTATAGCGGTTGCTAAGTACAACGGCAAACAAAAACAGAAATAATTTTCTCTTGTCCATATCTCTTGTCAAAGTCAGAATCTTTAAAAATTATAAAACCTTTCAAAATCTAAACCGCTCTCATTGAAAAAATTCCGAAAAATGTTTAAAGCGTCCATTTTTAAAGTAATTATTACTATCTTGTGAGTTTTATTTAAGTTTTATTTACTCAAACCCGTGATAATTGTAAAAAGGTGGCACTAAAACTTAAAAAGCTGTGCTGTGAACTGCAAAAACCATCGTGGATCGCGGCATAACGTCGGTTTTCAGCAGTGTTTCATAGGTATTTCATACATGTCCTTCTATAAAATAAAGTTTCTTGTATGCAACATACTGTATTTTATTTATAAAATTAAAAGAAAATAATAATTAATTTGAATAAGTAATATTTGGCGATATAATTCCGGAAAAAGCCGAACCGCTCCGAAATGTTCAAAAGCTTTGGGCCGCGACCGTAGCAAAAATAGCGCCAAATAGTATTTATATTGTCCTTATGGGCACTTTCCAATCTAAACTTATTTCATTTATCTATGATCAAGTGCAAATCAAGTGTTAAAATTATCCATAACGTCAAATATGTGTCAAAAACTACTAAAATTAAATTAAAATATTTTAAAATTATGTGCATAATCTCCATTTTTTTAAAACTACTACTAAAAATGGTTACTTTTTGATAAAAAAAAAGAAAAATCGCGTGTCAGGATAGTTCACCGGACCCGATATGCACATTATAAACCATGCAACATCTTTTTTTCATATCTTTGTCAACAACAACGATATTGGACTTCCTCGCACTCATATGGGCCACCCTGTATATTTTCTTACAATTTAAGATACGCTAACTATAATTTTAAACTACATACTAACATTTCATTGATTTTTTACTTTAATAAACTGCTTATTAATATAGATCGTGGTGATAACGTGCACAATTAAATATTAAACATAATTTAACGCTTTGTATTATTGTTCTATTGATTTTAGCGGCAGTTATACTCACCATGGGCAAAATATTTTTGCAGACTGATGGTTGTCGATGTGAGAATAGCCTTTACTGGAAAACATTGGCTTGAAAATGTTCGAATATAGTAAAACCGCGACATAAGAGTGACTCAGGTCAAACACTATTACCCTGACAACGCTTACTGTAGAGAGAACTATACAAACACCTTTGGTAAAATAGGTGTTTTAATTTCTCACCTGAAATTGATCCGTTAACAGCTTTGAATAAGAAGACTCTGAACTCTGAAGAAGACTAAGGAAGGAGCATATCAAAAATCTTAGGTACACCGCGATGGGCCTCAAATATGGCCGACTTAAATTCCGGTTTATCAGTGTCGTTATAATTTTATTTAAAAAATGTAAAACTATAATGTAGGGTAGACGTGGGGTAGACTCAATAATTTGTTGTTTTATTTTACGTTGTGAATAAATGTTGGTAGTTATTAAAATTGTTATAAAAATATATAATTCTAATAAAAATAGATAAGTTATAATAAGTATTTATTACCACAAACATCCGATACGCTACTGAAGCAGGTAAGTCAAATTAACGTATCTAAATTCTTTGACATCTAATCTTTGACAAGTAATAAATAAAAGCTAAAATGCAAGAAAAAATATATAATTTAGTTAATTTAAGTGAATTTCATAAATGATCGGTTTACTACACGTATGTATATTATATAGTCACTTACTAGCGAAAAGTTGTTCCATTATTTCACTCAATTTTTGCCGAGATCTACCGCACGCTACACAACCAACTATTTTAGAGTCTTTTTCGATAAATCGCGATAGTGTCACTGTTAATTTAAGTTCTGCCACAATTTCCATCTAGATTTACTACCTTTATACGGGGTGCAAGGGGTATTGAAGCGATACATATAGCCTAGCTTACCCAAAAGTCAACCTCACCTTCACGTGGTGCACCCTGTTTACACAAACGAGGCTCTGACGTCCGAGTATAGGCGGTATAACCTTATACAACCCTCAGACCTACCATCTTCTGGGGAAAAAGAGTAATAAAATACACCTAGCCGGCCGAGAACGTAGCACAAGGGAACTATCGTCGCAGTCCTCACTGTGCCATAGCCATCCCGTGCTACAGTTGCAGCAAAACTGTGCGGCAGCGTAACCGCCACAGTTAAACCTTTCACGCAGCTTACACACAGCAATGATGGAACATTCGAGTGGGACAAAATTATCGTCCGGAGGTAAAATACCCCCTCAATCGGATCTCCGGGAGGGGGTGCCTACTCGAGCGTATCATCGGAGAAACAAAAAACATCAATGTTTCACGTTCGCGGCGTGGAACGTCCGCACTCTACTGGACAAGATAAATTCAAATCGACCAGAGAGAAGAACAGCACTGGTCTCACAGGAACTCCACCGATTAAATATAGATGTTGCCGCTCTAAGCGAAACACGCTTTGCAGATAAGGTAGTCTCACTGAGGAGCATTACACCTTCTTTTGGAAAGGTCACCCCGCAACACACAGGAGAATTCATGGTGTAGGCATTGCGATCAAAAACGAAATCGCCACCAAGTTAACAGAAGTACCTATTGGTGTCTCCGAACGTCTTATGACCCTAAGGTACCCCATATCAGACAAAACTTACGTCAACAACATTAGTGCCTACGCTCCCACCCTTGACGCTAAAATTGAAGATAAGGATAAATTTTACCAAGCATTACAAAATGCCTTTCAACGAATTCCAAAGCACGAACGAATCATCTTGCTAGGTGACTTTAATGCCCGTGTAGGCAAACAACAGGAAATATGGCCTGACGTATTGGGAAAACAATGGAAAACGCAAATAGCAATGGTGAACGCTTATTAACAACATGCGCAGAGTATAATCTTTGCATCACCAATACGTGGTTCATGTTGATGAACAAGTTTAAAGATACCTGGAAACATCCTAGATCAGGCCACTGGCATCAATTGGACCACATAATCGTTCGAAGGATGCATCTAAAAGATGTTAGGCTCACAAAAGCTAGAATAGATGCCGAATGCGGCACTGACCACCGACTTTTAATTTCAAAAATGAAAATCCAGTTAAAACCCAAACATCCACGCTGTAAAAAGCAAAACAACATGACCAGATTGAACGTACGGGATCTAGAGAACAAGAATACCGCCGACGCCCTCCGGGAAGCCATCAAAGAATCACTTCCACCGATAACTTCAATCTCAATATTGGAAGCTGAACAAGACTGGACACAATTAAGGGATGCGATTCATAAAACCAGCGAAGCAGTACTGGGAAAGTCGAACAAAAAGAAACAACCAGACTGGTTTGACGAAAATCAACAGCATATACAGGCTTTTTTGGAACAAAAGCATAGAGCACATCAAGCCGTCACTGCAAATCCACTTAATCCAAGACTGGTAGATAACTTTAAAGCAGCCAACAACACCCTTCGAAGAGAACTGCGCCAAGTAAAGGATAACTGGTGGTCACAAAAAGCGAATCAGATTCAAGAGTACGCCACTCATCACGATTATCGTAAATTCTTCGAGGCTGTAAAAGAAGTATACGGTCCAACTAAGAAGGTAAGCTGCCCAATCATGGCTCAAAATGGCGAACTTCTAAAAGAGGAAGAACAAATCAGAAATCACTGGAAAGAACATTACAGCCATATCCTTAACCAAGAAAACAACCCCAATATGGAAGCACTAAACACAATACCTCAGTATAACAGCCTCGATGTATTAGACATCCCAATAACAGAACAAGAAATAAAGACCTCCATAAAACAGCAACAAATCAGCTGGCTGTGACGCGATTCCGGCGGAAATCTATAAGTGTGCAAGTAAAGAAATTATGGATCATCTTAAGGCTCTCTTTGATGTCGTATGGGAAAGCGGAGAGGTACCTCACGATTTTCGCAACGCGAATATAGTGAATATATTTAAGAACAAAGGAAGTGCATCAGACTGCGGTAATTACCGGGGAATTTTGCTATTAGCTATCGGCGGAAAAATTCTTGCAAAAATAATGTCAAACCGCCTGCACCCATATATAGAAAAAAAATCCTCCCAGGATCGCAAACGGGTTTTCGTACCAACCGCGGCACCGTCGATTCCATATTTTCCATCCGTCAACTACAGGAAAAAGTAAAAAAGCAGCAGTCTAAACTTTATGTTGCATTCATCGATCTAACAAAAGCCTTCGACTCTGTGAACAGAGATGCGCTTTGGGCAATTATGGAAAAGTTCGGTGTACCCAACAAATTTCTTACAGTGTGTAAAAGCCTCCATAACAACAACAAGTCAAGAGTGTCACATCATGGATCGCTGAGCGACCCATTCCTAACAAATACAGGAGTTAGGCAGGGATGTGTCTTAGCGCCTCTCCTATTCAACATATTCATGGCAGCGCTCTCCATTATAGTGGACAGCAAACTGCAGGAGAGAGGATTGGGCATTAGATACAGATATGACGGCGTCTGTTCAACATAAAAAGACTCAGGGCAAAAACACGTACAAAATTTATCACAGAACTTCAATACGCTGACGACTGCGCTCTAGTTGCAAACACGGTACAACAATTACAAGAAATGTTGAACACATATACCTGGGCATACGAGGCTTTGGGCCTTAAGCTGAACATCGGCAAAACTAAAATCATGTGCACTCCCCCGGAAGATCACAACAATGCTATAAAAATCGGAGAAGAACTATTCGAATATGTGGCGGAATTCAATTACCTTGGCAGTTTGATTTCGGAAAAGGCCAATATTGACTCTGAAATTCAGCACAGGATTAGTAGCGCCTCAAGAGCATTCTGGAAATTAAAAGACAGGGTTTTCTACAATCATGACTTGAGTACAAAAACAAAACTTGCAGTATACCGAGCAATTATAATCCCCACCATGATATATGGGAGCGAAACCTGGGTGCCTTACCGCCGACACATGAACGCATTGAACAAGTTGCAACAGAGACACCTTAGACAACTCTTAAGAGTCCGGTGGTTCCATCATGTCTCAAACGTATCGGTCCTTGAAAAATCTAACTGCGAGAGTATTGAAGTCATGGTCACAAAATCCCGCTTAAGATGGGCTGGTCACGTATGCAGAATGCAAGAAAACCGCATACCAAAATCTCTGCTTTACGGTGAGCTTGTGGACGGTAAGAGGAGGCCGGGTGGACAACTGAAAAGATACAAGGACATTTTCCACGAAAATTTAAAGGGAATTAACATGCAGAATGAGTGGGAAAAAGCAGCTCACAATAGAACTCAATGGAGAAGGGTTGTAAACTCAGTTAACAGCGGCAACCAAAAAGTAGAGAGGCAACAAAGCAATGAGATTTTTGAATGTCCGGAGTGCGGTAGGCAGATAACATCACGTATCGGGCTTTTCAGTCACAGAAAAGCTCATGAAAGAAAACGCCTTGCGTGACCATTTTCTTTATGTGTGTCGAATACTCGTCAGCGAGTAACGGCTGTATGTATGTATGTATGTAGTAGTAGAATAAATAATAAATAACATAAAATAAGCTTCCTAAAGACTGACAAATCCACAAAATTTCAAATCAAATTCAAATGTGTCAAATGACTCGTCAAACAGAACTGTCAAGGATCCCCACCCTAGAGAGCTTTTATGGTGGCTTTTCCGCCCACCATGCATGAATACATGGATAGCATTATGCTCCTTCCTTAGTCTTCTTATTCAAAGGTTAACAGCTTTGAATAAGAAGACTAAAGAAGGAGCATATCAAAAATCTTAGGTACACCGCGATAGGCCTCAAATATGGCCGACTTAAATTCCGGTTTATCAGTGTCGTTCTAATTTTATTTAAAAAATGTAAAACTATGATGTAGGGTAGACGTGGGGTAGACTCAATAATTTGTTGTTTTATTTTACGTTGTGAATAAATGTTGGTAGTTATTAAAATTGTTATAAAAATATATAATTCTAATAAAAATAGATAAGTTATAATAAGTGTTTATTAACACAAACATCCGATACGCCACTGAAGCAGGTAAGTCAAATTAACGTATCTAAATTCTTTGACATCTAATCTTTGACAAGTAATAAATAAAAGCATGATAAAAGCTAAAATGCAAGAAAAATATATAATTTAGTTAATTTAAGTGAATTTCATAAATGATCGGTTTACTACACGTATGTATATTATATAGTCACTTACTAGCGAAAAGTTGTTCCATTATTTCACTCAATTTTTGCCGAGATCTACCGCA